GGGCGGGGCCGGCGCGGGGGCCGGGCCAGGCGCTCCGAGCCGGGCGGCCCCGAGCCCGCCGCCGCCATGCCCAAGGTGGTGTCGCGCTCCGTGGTGTGCTCCGACACCCGCGACCGCGAGGAGTACGACGATGGGGAGAAGCCGCTGCACGTCTACTACTGCCTGTGCGGGCAGATGGTGCTGGTGCTCGGTGAGCCGGGGCAGGGGCAGGCCGGGCGGGGCAGGCCAGGCCGCGGCCCGGCGGCACACAGGGCCCGGGCAGGCGGCGGCGGGGTGCGGGTCCGGAATGTGGGACTTGTAATACGGGTGTGGATGCGGGGTGCGGGGTGCGGGTTCCCGGCGCCAGCCCGGCCCCTCGCTCCCCGCAGATTGCCAGCTGGAGAAGCTGCCGATGCGGCCCCGGGACCGCGCCCGCGTGATGGACGCGGCCAAGCACGCCCACAAGTTCTGCAACGCCGAGGAGGAGGAGAGCGTCTTCCTGCGCAGGTGGGCCCGGCCCCTGCATCCCCCGTCCCTCTGAGCCCCGGCCCGGGAAGGGGCTGCCCTCCCCCCGGCTGGGAGCCGCCAGCCAGGCACGGACACCCTGTGTCCGTGTGCTCTGCTCAAGCGCTGCCTCTCTCCCCCAGACCCGAAGGCATAGAGCGGCAGTTCAGGAAGAAATGTGGCAAGTGAGTGACCTTTTTGAGTCTTTGGAGTGATTTTTAGAATCTTTTTAATGAGGAATCCATAGGAATCCAGAATCTGGGTTTCCTCTCAGCTATGTATATTTCTGTTTCCAGGTGTGGACTGCTGCTCTTTTATCAACACCAACAGAAAAATGCTCCTGTGACGTTCATTGTTGATGGTGCTGTGGTCAAATTTGGCCAGGGTTTTGGGAAAACAAACATATATACTCAGAAACAAGAACCTCCTAAAAAGGTGATTTGCTTTAAAGAACAAGGATACCTTTGCTTTCCTAAAGGTGTTGTGTATAAAATAACTTAATGGTGAGGGGACAGGGGAGAGAAAAGAAAAAGAAAAGGACCTCTGAACAATAACTCAATTTGGTGTCTTGTCCATGTCTCCCTTAAGTTTTCCTTGACAGTGGTCACTGCAGCTTGAAGTCCTAGCACTAAAGGAGAGTAAAATCAACTCTAAAATCTAGACTGTGCCTGATGTTTAGGCTCAGCTAACAGAAAGTTTCCACTTGTAAGTAGGTCAGATTGGTAGCCTGCACAGTGATTCTCAAAGTCTGGCTCATCTACTGTATATCAGTGAGCTTGCTTCTGGTAATGAAACCTTTAAGCCCAGAAATCACTGAGCATAATTCCCCTTTGCCACCCACAGAGTTCAGGTAACCTTGATGGCTTGCATAAGAAGCCTTAAAACCTATGGAAGGACGAAGCAATCCCTACTCGCACAACTGTTGCCAGGGTTTAACAGAACATTCTTGTTTTTCACCCAGGTGATGATGACCAAACGGACCAAAGACATGGGCAAGTTCAGTTCTGTCACAGTCTCCACAATTGATGAAGAGGAGGAGGAGATTGAAGCGGTGAGTTTTGGATGCCCTTAGTGGCAGCCACATCTGAGCTGGGCAGAGCCAGCAATGGTCTCACTGTTTGGATGAAATATTGTTACTCTGGGGTTTGTGTGTGTATTTCAGAGGGAGATTGCAGACTCGTATGCACAGAATGCAAAAGTGATTGAGAAGCAGCTGGAACGCAAAGGCATGAGCAAGAAAAGGCTACAAGAGTTGGTGAGTTTTTCTTTGGTGCTGAACACAAAGCTCTGAGATGTGTTGGCTTTGTACAGAAAAGCTATCTTGCAGATCAGACTGAAAGTAGAGAGAGGTCCTGGTATAGTCACAGGCAGCTTGCAGCTTTGTGAGGATGAGATTTCCTTTACAAGTTTTATAAAGATGTTCTAGTCCCCCTGAGCTTAAAATTGCACGCCATTGCCTGGAGAGCTGAGAGCAGCCAGCAGAGCGTTTGCAGGGAGGCTTTCTGTGACCTGTTGGACGAGGAGCAAGGGAAGGGGAAATCAGGCCATGGCTTTGCCAGCCTGCTCTCCTGCCTGCTGGGCAGAGCAGGTCACTGCCACGAGGCACCAGGGCACTGCCAGGCTCCTGTGGAGGATCTGCAGCTCAGCTGCTACTGCAAGGGGCACTCGAAGAATGAATGGCAAGAACATCACAACTGATCTTACCTCCTGTGACAGGGGGGGTAGTAGGTGGAAAGGGGGAGGAAATGTGCAGCTTCCATCTGAGAATAGAAGGTATGAAATTGCCTCTTGGGCAGTTGGTTTTGGGCTTTTCATGATTTTAAAAATGGTCCTTGTTTTGTACATCAGCAAAGCGCTTGAGCTACTCTTGCTCCTGGTTTTGGAACTGAAAAGTTCGCTTGGTCAGACAAGAAGAGTGAACTTAATTGGAGCACTGAAGGGAAAATTATCCAGACATGATTTAACTCTACTTTAATTTTCCTATTCAGGCTGAGTTGGAAGCCAAGAAAGCCAAGATGAAAGGAACCCTGATTGATAACCAGTTCAAATGAAATGCTGTGTATCTGCTGGGTATTTGGAGACAGGAGAAAACTACCAAGAGCGGTCACAGTTCTGTCAACAAAGCAGAAGTAACAGACAACGTTCAAGAGTGGCACTGTGCTGCAGCTAGCTTGGAGGATGAGAACCTCTCGGGATCCCTCTGTAAAGTGATACTCTGGGTACCAATCTTAACTTGGCACTGGAGACTTTGCTCAAACTGCAGTTCTCTACAGACCCAGTGTTGTGAGCGGGCCATTCCAGGTAGAATATTTATTTCAAGAAAATCTTTGCTGGGTGCCTTCCCAAGTTCACCTTTAGATACCTGTCTTTTTATTTTGTAGCTTTCAAATGTGTTTCCTTGAATACATTAGGATGACAGGTAACTGTACAACAAAGAAATCCTTACAAAAGTAAGCTCTATGCCTGTTGTTCATTTTGTTATTTTAAACATATCCAAAAGGTGCAGCAGCCTGAGCCATGCCATTACAACAGTCTGGAACGACTGGGATGCAAGGCTTGGGCATGGTGCTGCTGCTCACCCTGACCTGCCAGAGGCAGCCAGCACAGACTGGGCTGCTGCACTGCAGTCCCAGCTCCTGCTGAACATCACAGGGCTGCAGATGTACAGACTTACACTGTCACAACAGACACATACCAGAGTGTAAAATCCAAGCCTGTTTTAAACTACTGTAAATAAAAACTGCTACTAAGGAGTTCAAATACTTGGTTGGAAGTTACTGATACAGCCAGTGATCATTAAAGAATACAACTGCACATCTGCACTAGCCCTTTGGGCAAAACAGTATCAGTATTTGGAGCTGTGAAATGTGAAGGAAAAATTGTTTTGAATTTTTCCTTCTGACCACTAAGGGCTGGGATAGACAACATTATACACCAGTTTTTAAAGTACCCTGTTTGGGTAATTGTACTTTATGCCTCTTGCATGACATAATAACAGTGTTCTCTAGCCCATGTCTTCATTGCTCTCTATTGGATTAAATATCATGTTACAGATTTGAACTAAAATACCTCTCCTGAGATGTTTTTGCTCTACCAAATAAATGCATCATAAAATGCAAGCAATGAACAAGATGCTTCCATCTCCCACAATTATTATGGAAAACTTTCTATAATCAATAAATATTTTCCATCTGGCTTTATAGTCCTGACTGGGAAAACTCAGATCTGTGTACCTAAGGATCTATCCTCTCTTTCTCAGGAAAAAAAGGAGTAAAAGAGGGAGTGAACTCTGCCCAGAGCCAGCAGAGATGGGTTGGTAGATCCTGGGACAATTTAATGCCAGGCTGGTAAGCAGGTGTTCATGTTAACTCATGCAGTGCTGATCTTGTTCCCTGCTCATCAGCTCTCATCTGAAGCCGATCTCCAGAAGAGCCTGTGGTGGTGTGCAGTACCTGGGAGGGCAGGAGATGTGTGGGTACACAAACCCCTTTCCCAGTGTGGTAGCACAGCCCAGCCAGGCGAGGGCCTCAGGGCTCCTCTGGGGGTGATCCAAGCCTGGGGGAACTGCAGGTTGATCTCTATAAAAATTCAGACTTTTTTTCCCAAGCGGGAGTAAAAGACTTTGACATCTGAAAATAGGTTTGATCCATGTGAGATGTGCTGGGTTGCAGATGCTGAGTCTCCAGTTGTCCAGGGATGAAGTGTGGTCTTGCTTCAGGTGACACCAGAACAACAAGCTGACTTGGGGATGGTGGGATTTATTGCCAGGGTTAAGGCTGGGAGTGACAAAAGCTGAGGACAGGCTGTGAAGGGGCTGCCAGTTGGGGATAGGAGCATCTTTGCAGTTTGGTCAGGCACAAAGAAAATCTGGTGTCCCAGCTCAACACAAGTTGTCCAAAGTAGCTGTTACCAACTGTCATCAACTTTCTCAGCTGCCTCCTGGAGCCTTGCGACAGCACAGCACAGGCTTCTGGAAGGCCAGTCCATGTTCAATCAGTGTTTGTCCTCATCACTGGAAATCTAGTTTGGCTCAGGACTTGTGCATGGACCCAATCAGAAAGGGGAGTGCCTTGCATCTTCTGAGGTGCTTTTGATACACTCTAGTTATGCAGGCCATGGCTGAAACAACTCTAACACAGAGAATCTGATCCAATACATTATTATGTATTTCTTACTTCAACTGGAGCATTCACAACAGTGTAAATCAAATTGGGATTTTCATTTCTGAATCTAAATTAATTAAAATATATTAGCTGACTGTAGCAACAGGAAGCAGGGTCACCAAGTTCAAACAATTGATGAAATGTCCTGTTAAAATAGATAAAACCAGCTGTCCTGCAGTGTTTCCCATACCCTGGTAGCAAATGGGCAATCTGTAGCAGAGTTCAGACCAAAGAAAACTCAGATTTCATGTTACAGTCAGACATGCAAAAGTCAACATTTGTTTTTATAAATCTGTAGATACAGGTAAGTGATAGATTTGTTTAACTGAGCACGAGATTGTATGCAAGAACTTGTCTAGATGCAGAGGTATCACAAAATGTGAAATAAAAGTGAAGGAGGGAATCTGTTTTAAAAGTAATGGCACACAAGGACAGACTTACCTTACTGTATTTCATTACTTAGTTCAGACCAGTTTCCAAGCACCTTCACAAAACCGTAGCCTGATTTACCAAATCAGAACAGCTCTGGGTGTAACAATGGTGCCTGGCTCCCCATAACCTGTACAAAACCTCCACACAATTTGTAAACACTCAAGAGAAGTGGTAACAGTGAATCCAGCCTCCTCTGTGTTAATCACAGCTGTGCCTGGGGAGCAGCATGGAGTGAGTGGAAGTTTCTGGTCAACCCTTACAGCTCTCCTTGTGCTCCATGTTTGTGCTATTTTACTCAGTGCAGATGGCTTGCTCTGACTCCCTAGACTGTTGCATTGATGCACATTGATAAATACACATAATGTGTATGACAAGGTGATCAGCTTGGGAGCAGCACTAACTGATCAGTCTGAATCATAGTCTCAGCTTTTGCTGGTGATATCCTAAAGAGGCCATGGGGCTTTGCCACATCCAGGCATTTTAAAAGTACAAAATTACGGGCTTGTTTAAAAGGCTCCAGGGCTGGGCTCCAAGGATGGAATGGAAGCCTTGTAACTCCCTGCTGAGGAATCCTTATGACCCTAGCTGGCCACAGCCCACTGGGGATTTGGGTAGATTTCAAGGCACAAGTGGCCAATCGCTCTGTTGTGGTCAACCAGAAAAACTCCATCCCCGTGCCAGCAGCCAGGGCTGTAACTCCTGTCAATCCCAGCAGGATCAGAAAGCAACAACCAGCAAACCACTGGTGGGATGACACCTCCCAGAGCCCCCTGATGCTGCCAGTCTCGGTGTGGGGTCTTGGCAGGTCTTGAGGACTCATTGTTCCCAAAACCACCACCCCCAGCAGCTCAGTATGGCTCCAGGGTGTGCAGAACTGGGGCTGTGTCCTTGCAGGCCTGTGAGCATAGCTCTGTCCCCACAGCCAGGCCCACCATGCATGTGCTTTGGGCAGCTGATGGGGCCACCTGGTGTGGCTGGGCAGTGGCAGGAACAATCCCCACTGGGAACGACTGATTTTACCCTGCATGACAAAGCATTGCCTCTCCCCCTGCCCCTCTGCACCAGACCCTGCTAGTCATGCAGGCAGCACATGAAAGATGCTGGGGCAATGCCTGCCAAGGGTGACAAGGACATAGAGGCAGGGGCACTCCTGTCTCCATCCAAAGCCCAGAGATACAGCCTGGAGTGATCCAGCGATTGCTGAAGGGGACAGTGGAGTGGATGAGCTGGCACTCTGGTCTTTTACAAGTCAAGTCCTTGGGGTGGGATGCTCTCCACTGCAAGACTCAGCACAGAGCCAGGCACAGCCCAGCTGGGGCAGGCTGGTGCACACTGAGCCATTCCAACCATCCCACAGCAATCATCACCTGCCCCAGCCACTGACAAGCGTGTCACACGATCCCCTGCGCAGCTGTGCTGCGTCAACACCTCCTAAGCCTGGATTTATGGCTGCTGGGCCAGGGGCTGAGACAAAAGCAGCATTACAGGCACTCACCCATCCCTGTTCACCAGCAAAGGAGCTGATGCACCAGGCTGGACACAGCTCCTGTGGAGGAAATCACGACATGTGTGACGTTCAGCCCTTCCCACAGGAGACTCACACTTAAAAGGAAAATCCACCCCCATCCATGCCATTCTTGTGGCAGCACAGCCCAGTGGACAAAATGCTGTGTTGGAGGGACTGCACTCAACTTGCTGCCTTGCCACTGGCTGGCCTAAGTTCTTTTCTCTTGCCTCAGTTTCCCCACAAGAACAAAGCCCTTAATCCCTGTACAGTGTGCTTCCATGGGAGGCAACAGCAGCAGCTGAACCCCCCCAGATAAAGCTGCTCCCAGGGAGCTGCCAGGAGGGGGGCAGTTTAAACCACAGAAGGCCTACCAGCCTGTAGTACTCAACAGTGGAGTGCAGGAGAACCCCTTGTGGGCTCTGCCCTGCATCTCACACCTGCCAGAGCTAAAAAGAGCTGTGAAACACATTCTTGTTTCCTGAATCCCCAAAGCAGTCAATAGGGCAGGGAGCTGAAACCTATTTTACTCAGTGCCAGCCCTGCACCCCAAGTCCAGTGCACAATCTGTAGGTCTTAGGGACTCCCCAGCTCAGTTCCTTTGCAGCCTGGCACACAGCCCAGCTCAGTGCCTCAGTCACCCATCACTGTGTGCAGGAAGAAATGATGCACCTACCTTATTGTGCCAATGGCCTGGCCATGCAACCCCTGTGGAGGAAAGGACAGGGAAGGATGCCCCATGCTCAGCAACCAGCAGCATTTCAGAACAGCTCTTGAAATCCAGGAGAGCTTAGCAGCAGGAGGCTGAGAGCCCTTAGTTAATAAGCTGGCACTTGTACAACAGGAGAGGGCTCCCTGGTAAAGGGAGCCATGGCACAGTCCCCTGCCAAGCTGCTGCCTGTGCCCCAGCACTGCCCACTGCCTGTGGCATTGCTTCACATCTCACCTTTACAGCTTGTTTCACCTCCACAGCAGGCAGTGGGGGGATCTCACACTGCAGCAGCCCAGGGGCAGTTGAAAATCATCAGCAAGGACAATTGGCTCAGCTGTGAGGCACAAGACTGTCTCCCATGAGGAAGGCCCGTGCCCCCTCACAGGGACCCTGGCAAGCCACCACCACCTGCAGCAGGAAGGTGCTGTGCTCTCATGCCTGGCTGCCCTGCTTAGATTCTAGCAATAAAAACAACTCTAGCCCTTTGCAACACAAGGTCTTGTTTAGTTGCCTTGGGCAGTGCCTGAGATTGGTTTCAGTGATTGAAATCAACTGCTTTGAGCAGGCCTGAGCAGCCAGAAACACCAAAGGCATGGGGGAAGTGAAGAGACTCACTGTCCTGAAGGGCAGAAGACCAGGAGAGCATCCCCTCACCACTCCAGATCCCCAGGCAGAAACCAGGCAGCTCCTCTGGGGTGACTCAGACCTACAGACATATCTGGGTAAAGGCCACACCACACACCTTGCCCCATCTTGCAGTTTCCCCCAAACTGTCCCAGCAGCATAAAGGAATTTTCCCCTTCCCCTGGAATTTTGAACCTTAAGCTCCAGGGGTAAGGAATGAGCCTGGGAATGCACCTCCCTGCCTAGCAAGCACAGCTGGTACAGAAGCTTCTCTGCTCAGCTGCTGAATCCCCACAGCACAGCACCCTCTGTGAGAGCAAGGCCGACCAGGGAAGCTACAGAACAGCAGCAATTAACTGCACTTGTGTCCTCTGGCTGCCTACATGCCCAGTTAGGTAGCTCAGTTTCTAAGGCAGAGAACATGATGCCAAGCTCTGCTCCTCCAGGGAGCAGGAAACACTCCCTTAGACATTCTTCCAGCCTCCCAGGCATTCAGTGCCATAGGGGGTGCTGTGCTTTACAGACAGTTTAGGCACTTGGCATCATTAAAATCAGGCTTCACAAGCTCCAATGAGCAGACAGGCCAGAGGCAGGACTGTGGCACACAGTCCATCATCTCTGGTTAGTGCAGTCTCAGGGAGGTCAGTGGATGAGTCCTTCAGAGCTGCCAGTCCCCATTCCAGCCTACACCACTGGCTTCCCCTGGGGCGGAAACACTACCTAGCCTCCTTGGCAACCTGCACTGTGTTTACCTGCCAGTACTTAGCAGGTACCAAGGCTTGCAGGATGGAGGTGGT